TGTGGTTTTCGAATTTGTATGATTTGAAAGAGCTGAGGAAAATCATATTTTTGTCGGGCTGTAGTGCTGAGGAGAACACTTCATACTTTGCTTTACTGTGTAGTTCTTACCCTGGTGTGGTAAATACATCTGCCACTGGTAGGCGCCAGTGGACATGATTTGACTTGAACTAACAGTCTTATGGCGTTTTCTCAGTAAATCACAATCACTCTCTAAAAAGAGCTAACATTGACTACTTATCGCTTTTGCCTTTATTGTCTGTTTTGGAGAGTCCATTTTCTTTGACCTGCACGTACAGATCGCTCATAATTTAGAGTATAGTTCAGGATAACCCTTTTTTCTGTCTCTCACTTTTAACACTTCTCCTTTTTCTCTCTCACTTCTACTTACCGTCTTTTGCTCCATATTTATCCACTTTTCTCTCCCCCAACCCCTCTCTTTCCGTCTCTAGTGAGTTTATGAAGACTGAATATTAACTAACTATGATCTTGTTGTTTTCTGTTTTTCATCCACAGGCTCGGAGGCGTCATATCTTCCTACAAGATAGTCCCAGATGAGATTGATGAGATTAAGGTGACTATCTCTCTCCCTCCCTCCTCTATTTCTCTCTCTCTCTCTCTCTCTCTCTCTCTCTCTCTCTCTCTTCCTCTATTGCTCTCTCTCTGTCGCTCTCTCTCTCTCTCTCCCTTCCTCGCTCCATCCTTTCTCTCTCACTCCATCCCTCCTCTCTCTCTCTCTCTCTCTCTCTCTCTCTCTCTCTCTCTCTCTCTCTCTCTCTCTACTCTAACTGCATGCTTCCCCCTAGAGCCCACCTCAGGCTGTAGTTCAAAGGTGACACCATTTTGGATTTTCACATGTATTCTCTCACTAGGCCTACATTAAATAATTGTTATTGTTAGACCCTTCTGTCTTGGAAACAGTTGTTCTACACATTGGGTGAATCTCAATGGTCTTTCCTTGATTTCTTGCGTCCTCTCTCCTTGCCTCCTTCTCGAGACACATTAGAGGACAAGATCCAAGGTTTCTCCTCTCTGATCTTCTCCTCCAGTGCAATTTGAGAAAGAGGCGAGAAGGGAGGATCAAGTAAAGACAATTGAGATTCACCCAGCGCTTTAGTATTCTATCCTGAACCCGCCTCTGTTTTTGTCTGTATGATTGACACTGCTCCCAGCCAATGGAGTGGTTATCTCTGTGATTGACACTGCTGCCAGCCAATGGCGTGTCTCTCTGCGCTCTGTTCTTAGGAGACATTGGTGGACTGGTGTGATGAGAAGGAGCTGAACCTGATTCTGACCACCGGGGGAACAGGGTTCGCCCCCCGTGATGTCACTCCCGAGGTACATGGGGACCCCAAAGTTTGTGTTTGTGTCCATGTGAGTGTGGATGAGTGTCCACCCTACTGTAGATGTAGTGTAAGCTGTTAGCTATGCGTGCACGTGTGTGTGTGTTGGTTGGCACCTGCATGGTCAATGTGCATGTTTATGTGTGAATTGTGTTTGTCAAACCGTAGATTGTCTTGTGTTTTGTCAGGTTTTTTACAGTACGGATAAATAAATGTTTGTGTTCCACTATTTTATTTTCCATATGATATATTTTGCATATGTTGTCAATGTGTGTATGAGTGTGTCATATTCAATTTTATGGTTGACTCTGTGTGTGTGTGTGTGTGTGTGTGTGTGTGTGTGTGTGTGTGTGTGTGTGTGTGTGTGTGTGTGTGTGTGAGTGTATGTTCATTTGCTTGTGTGTGTGTGAGTGCATGCATGTGTGGATGCGTGCGTGTGTGTGTGTGAGAGGGAGAAAGCGCTTGTGACTCCCTGGAGATTACTGCTGGCTTCTGGCTGTGGATGTTTTTCTTTCTTTCTTTCTTTCTTTCTTTCTTTCTTTCTTTCTTTCTTTCTTTCTTTCTTTCTTTCTTTCTTTCTTTCTTTCTTTCTTTCTTTCTTTCTTTCTTTCTTTCTTTCTTTCTTTCTTTCTTTCTTTCTTTCTTTCTTTCTCGCTCTCTGATATGTCCTATCTTTCTCTTCTTTTTTAATAATGTGCATGTTTGAAGTGTCATTCAACTCAAGGGCACACAACATCACTACTCTTAAATCAATTCCACTGTCCCCCCCATGGTGTGTGGATCGAAAAAACAGGATCTGCTGGAGGGAATTTATCCCCAGGGGACACACACACACACACACACACCACACACACACACACACACACAACCGAGGTGAGGGGCTTTGAGATAAAGAAAGAAACATCAGGGATTAAAAGGAATCACTGTTCTAATCTGTCTTTTAGCATGGTGGCTATGGTTCTGCTCATAGGAGTAGTAATTACTGCACTACTTTCACTAGGCCCCAGTGGATGGAGCCTTGCAGTCGGTTACTACAGTAGGTTAAGCCTTAGCTTTTTCCATGCAGTTAGGTTGTAATCTCAGCCCTGACCTTAGACCTTTTTGCCAGTTAGGCTGTAATCTCAGCCCTGACCATAGACCTTCTTGCCCATCCTTGACCCTGCTGTAGGTGAATGTAATATTTGTGAGGATAACTGTTCAGTACAGTAACCAGTGTCCCCTTCCTCCCTTCCTCTCTTCCCATGCTGCAGGCCACCAGAGAGGTGATAGAGCGCGAGGCTCCAGGGATGTCCCTGGCTATGCTGATGGGCTCCCTGCAAGTCACACCTCTGGGCATGCTCTCCAGGCCTGTCTGTGGAATCAGAGGCAAAACCCTCATCATCAACCTACCTGGCAGCAAGAAAGGCTCACAGGTAAAATCTGGTGTGCGTGTGTGTGCACGCGCGCCAATCCCATAGACCTGCTGTATTACTGTCCTTGAACTCTAACCTCTGACCCCTAATTCTCTCCTCTTACAGGAGTGTTTCCAGTTCATCCTTCCAGCTCTGCCCCACGCCATTGACCTGCTGCGTGACGCGGTTGTGAAGGTGAAGGAAGTCCACGAGGCCCTGGAGGACCTGCCCTCACCCCCACCACCCCTCTCCCCGCCCCTCACCCTCAACAGCATCGCCTGCACCCAGACAGAGGACAAGGTGACACTCTTTCGCTCTCCTCCTATGTGTTTGCATTTCTTTTTGGAAGAAAAAGAGGGACACCCCACACCGCATGATAATGAGAGGTCCCTACATGATAATGAGAGGTCCCTACTGATAATGAGAGGTCCCTACTGATAATGAGAGGTCCCTACTGATAATGAGAGGTCCCTACTGATAATGAGAGGGCCCTACTGATAATGAGAGGTCCCTACTGATAATGAGAGGTCCCTACTGATAATGAGAGGTCCCTACTGATAATGAGAGGTCCCTACTGATAATGAGAGGTCCCTACTGATAATGAGAGGTCCCTACTGGATAATGAGAGGTCCCTACATGATAATGAGAGGTCCCTACATGATAATGAGAAGAGGTCCCTATGATAATGAGAAGAGGTCCCTACATGAAAGTGAGAGGTCCCTACTGATGAGAGGAGGACCCTATATAATAATGAGAAGAGGTCCCTATATGATAACGAGAGGAGGTCCCTACATGATAACGAGAGGAGGTCCCTACATCATAACGAGAGGAGGTCCCTACATGATAACGAGAAGAGGTCCCTATATGATAACGAGAGGAGATCCCTACATCATAACGTGAGGAGGTCACTACATCATAACGTGAGGAGGTCCCTACATCATAATGTGAGGAGGTCCCTATATGATAACGAGAGGAGGTCCCTACATCATAACGTGAGGAGGTCCCTACATCATAACGTGAGGAGGTCCCTACATCATAACGTGAGGAGGTCCCTACATCATAACGTGAGGAGGTCCCTACATCATAACGTGAGGAGGTCCCTATATGATAACGAGAGGAGGTCCCTACATCATAACGTGAGGAGGTCCCTATATGATAACGAGAGGAGGTCCCTACATCATAACGTGAGGAGGTCCCTATATGATAACGAGAGGAGGTCCCTACACCATAATGAGAGGAGGTCACTATATGAAAGTGAAAGGTCCCTACATGATAATGAAAGGATGTCCATACATGAAATATAGCTGCTTCGCTGTGCTTTATTCCTGCACCATAATCACAAAGTTTCCACTTCGCAGAAGTCTTCGTCAATTTGTGGCAGTACTTATTTTTTATCATTATAGCTATATCTGCTTTTAAAATGTTTCTTTTATCCATTTAAAAAATATATATGTTATGAAATACAGCACCGTTAGTTGTGGTTTTCTCTATGAATTGTGTTTTCTTAATAAAGTGTATTATTATTCTAAGGGTGTGCAGTGTGAGGATGATGATGATTATGATGATGATGATGAGAAGATGAAGGACAGCTGCTTGGTGTCTACCGAGGACCACCACGCCCACCACCACCACTCCCACTCCCACTCCCACGGACACAACTCACACATCACCGCCGCCGCCATCGCTGCCAAGGTAAACACACAATGGCCTGTTGCTGTTTCTCATGTTAAATCTCAAGTTAACATCAACATGGATATCTCAGCCCGGAAGTTCTTTATAAAATGAATTATGATCATTACACCCAGAGAAAGGAAGGGAAATCTAGCAGAAATAGAGGGATAGAGGGAGGAGAAGAGAGGAAGATGAATGGGTAGAGAGGAAAATGGAGAGGGAGGGCTGAACGAGGGATAAGAGGAAGAAAATGAGTTATGTATTGTGTTCACTACATTATCATCTGATGTCCCTGTTCGCTACATTATAATTTCATGTCCCTGTTCGCTACATTATCACCTGATGTCCCTGTTCGCTACATTATCATCTGATGTCAATGTTTGCTACATTATCATTTGATGTCCCTGTTCGCTACATTATCACCATATGTCCCTGTTCGCTACATTATCATCTGATGGCACTGTTCACTACATTATTAACTGCTGTCCATGTTCACTACATTATCGTCTGATGTCCCTGTTCGCTACATTATCATCCAATGTCCCTGTTCGCTACATTATCATCCAATGTCCCTGTTCGCTACATTATCATCTGATGTCCCTGTTCGCTACATTATCATCTGATGTCCCTGTTCGCTACATTAACATCTGATGTCCCTGTTCACTACATTAACATCTGATGTCCCTGTTCACTACATTATCATCTGATGTACCTGTTCGCTACATTATCGTCTGATGTCCCTGTTCACTGCATTATCATCTGATGTCCATGTTCGCTACATTATCATATGATGTCCCTGTTCACTGCATTACTGCACCTGTGTTGATCCTTAATTTTGATACATCAGTACATCAGTGTGTGTTTACCTGTCGTGTGTGTGTATATGCCTGTGTGTATATGCCTGTGTGTGTGTGTATATGCCTGTGTGTATATGCTTGTGTGTATATGCCTGTGTGTGTGTGTATATGCCTGTGTGTATATGCCTGTGTGTATATGCCTGTGTGTATATGCCTGTTATGTGTGTATTCATGTTTCATCCTGTGTTGACCATCCATCACCAGAAGGGGAAGCCCCAGCACCATAACCATGCTGTTGTCATGGCTAAAGATAGCCAGTATCTACCTGGTCTGGTATCTAACCTCCCTCCCGCCCCACCTCATTACACCTGCTCCTGCTCTGGAGACCAGCCGGTAACGGTAAGACCCCTCAAATCTACCCACCCTCATGTCACACGTCGCTCCTACATCACATACCACTGTACTCTGCATGCCACCCCTCCCATAATTCCTCCCTGCAAACTTGAACACCATGAATCTCAAAAGTGCTCGATCCGAGGAGAGGAATCTTTGGAGGTGAGGATGCGAGGAATGAAGAAGGACTTTTGAGATTCACCCCATCTTGTATAGGTCATGACGTGTGTGTGTATCGCCAGGACAGTGTTATTAGCGCTAGCTGGGTTAGCTTGTGTTGCTAATTAGCAGAGTGGGGTTCAGTGCTGGGCTGCCAGTAAAGCCTATGGTGATAATTAGCACAACACTAACCCCTTAGCGCTCCATTGGAAACCCCCTGTAAATCCCACTGGCTCTCTCCCAGGGCCCACTAGCACTGCTCAAATGAGCCGTGCGGATCACAGTCGCAGATCCACACATCCACAGCAGCAGCCCTGAGGGGAAACTGTGGGCCTGCCTGGCCTGTCTGTCTCCTCACAGGCACATACTCTGTCTGCACTGCAGCCATACTGTGTATGGTACACACACAAACAAACACACACACACAAACACACACACACACACATAGGGTTTAACATGCGTCTGGAACTAGTGTCTAATGATGTTTAGAATGTATTCATATTGTTATAGTTATTAGAAAAGTCTAACTGGCCAATCAGAAAACAGATGACTGACTGGCCAGACTGACTGACCAATCTGTGTGTGCTTTCGAGATGTCTTTTATCTGGTTGTGTGTGTATAGTACAGTGCTGTTTGTGTGTGTATAGTACAGTGCTGGGTGGTTATAGTACAGTGCTGTTTGTTGTGTATAGTACAGTGTGTTTGTGTGTGTATAGTACAGTGCTGTGTGGTGTATATACAGTGCTGTGGTGTGTATAGTACAGTGCTGTTTGTGTGTATAGTACAGTGCTGTTTGTTGTGTATAGTACAGTGCTGTTTTGTGCGTGATAGTACAGTGCTGTTGTGTGGTATAGTACAGTGCTGTGTGTGTGTATAGTACAGGCTGTTTGGTGTTATAGTACAGTGCTGTTTGTGTGTGTATAGTACAGTGCTGTGGGTGTGTATAGTTACAGTGTGTTGTGTGGTGTATAGTACAGTGCGGTGTGGTGTGTATGTACAGTGCTGTTTGTGTGTGTATAGTACGTGCTGTTTGTGCGTTTGTATAGTACAGTGCTGTTTGTGTGTGTATAGTACAGTGCTGTTTTGTGCGGTGTATAGTACAGTGCTGTGTGTGTGTATAGTACAGTGCGTGTGTGGTGTATATACAGTGTGTTGTGTGTGTATAGTACAGTGTGGTTTGTGTGTGTATAGTACAGTGCTGTGTGTGTGTTAGTACAGTGCTGTTGTGTGTGTATAGTACAGTGCTGTGTGTGTGTATAGTTACAGTGCTGTTTGGTGTGTATAGTACAGTGCTGTTGGTGTGTGTATAGTACAGTGCTGTGTGGTGGTATAAGTACAGTGGTTGTGGTGTGTATAGTACAGTGCTTGTGTGGTGTATAGTACAGCTGCTTGTGTGTGTATAGTACAGTGCTGTTTGTGCGTTATAGTACAGTGCTGTGGTGTGTATAGTACAGTGCTGTTTGTGCGTGTATAGTACAGTGCTGTTTGTGTGGATAGTACAGTGTGTGTGTGTGTGTGTTAGTACAGTGCTGTTTGTGCGTGTATAGTACAGTGCTGTGTGTGGTATAGTACAGTGCTGTTTGGGTGTATAGTACAGTGCTGTTTGTGTGTTAGTACAGTGCTGTTGTGTGTGTGTATAGTACAGTGATGTTTGTGTGTGTATAGTACAGTGCTGTTTGTGTGTGTATAGTACAGTGCTGTTTGTGTGTGTATAGTACAGTGCTGTTTGTGTGGTATAGTACAGTGCGTTTGTGTGTGTATAGTACAGTGCTGGTTGTGTGTATAGTACAGTGCTGTTTGGTGTGTGTAGTACAGTGCTGTTTGTGTGTGTATAGTACAGTGCTGTTTGTGTGTGTATAGTACAGTGCTGTTTGTGTGTGTAAGTACAGTGCTGTTTGTGTGTGTATAGTACAGTGCTGTTTGTGTGTGTATAGTACAGTGCTGTTTGGTGTGGTTAGTACAGTGCTGTTTGTGTGTGTATAGTACAGTGCTGTTTGTGTTGGTATAGTACAGTGCTGTTGTGTGTGTATAGTACAGTGCTGTTGTGTGTGTATAGTACAGTGCTGTTTTGTGTGTATAGTACAGTGCTGTTTGTGTGTGTATAGTACAGTGCTGTTTGTGTGTGTATAGTACAGTGCTGTGTGTGTGTATAGTACAGTGCTGTTGTGTGTGTATAGTACAGTGCTGTTTGTGTGGTGTGTATAGTACAGTGCTGTTTGTGGGTGTATAGTACAGTGCTGTTTGTGTGTGTATAGTACAGTGCTGTTTGGTGGTATAGTACAGTGCTGTTTGTGTGTGTATAGTACAGTGCTGTTTGGTGTGTATAGGTACAGTTGCTGTTTGTGTGTGTATAGTACAGTGCTGTTTGTGTGTGTATAGTACAGTGCTGTTTGTGTGTGTATAGTACAGTGCTGTGGTGTGTATAGTACAGTGCTGTTTGGTGTGTATAGTACAGTGCTGTTTGTGTTGTATAGTACAGTGCTGTGTGTGTGTATAGTACAGTGCTGTTTGTGTGTGTATAGTACAGTGCTGTTTGTGTGTGTATAGTACAGTGCTGTGTGTGTGTATAGTACAGTGCTGTTTGTGTGTGTATAGTACAGTGCTGTTTGTGTGTGTATAGTACAGTGCTGTTTGTGTGTGTATAGTACAGTGCTGTTTGTGTGTGTATAGTACAGTGCCTGGGTTGTGTGGGTATAGTACAGTGCTGTGTGGTGTGTATAGTACAGTGCTGTTTGTGTGTGTATAGTACAGTGCTGTTTGTGTGTGTATAGTACAGTGCTGGTGTGTGTGTATCAGTACAGTGTGTGGGTGTGTATAGGACAGTGCTGTTTGTGTGTATAGTACAGTGCTGTTTGTGTGTTGTATAGTACAGTGCTGTTTGTGTGTGGTATAGTACAGTGCTGTTTGTGTGTGTATAGTACAGTGCTGTGTTGTGTATAGTACAGTGCTGTTTGGTGTGTGTATAGTACAGTGCTGTTTGTGTGTGTATAGTACAGTGCTGTGTGTGGGTATAGTACAGTGCTGTTGTGTGTATAGTACAGTGCTGTTTGTGTGGATTGTACCAGTGCTGTTTTGGCGTGTATAGTACAGTGCTGTTTGTGTGTGTATAGTACAGTGCTGTTTGTGTGTGTATAGTACAGTGCTGTGTGTGTGTATAGTACAGTGCTGTTTGTGCGTGTATAGTACAGTGCTGTTTGTGTGTGTATAGTACAGTGCTGTTTGTGCGTGTATAGTACAGTGCTGTTTGTGTGTGTATAGTACAGTGCTGTTTGTGCGTGTATAGTACAGTGCTGTTTGTGCGTGTATAGTACAGTGCTGTTTGTGTGTGTATAGTACAGTGCTGTTTGTGCGTGTATAGTACAGTGCTGTTTGTGCGTGTATAGTACAGTGCTGTTTGTGCGTGTATAGTACAGTGCTGTTTGTGTGTGTATAGTACAGTGCTGTTTGTGTGTGTATAGTACAGTGCTGTTTGTGTGTGTATAGTACAGTGCTGTTTGTGTGTGTATAGTACAGTGCTGTTTGTGTGTGTATAGTACAGTGCTGTGTGTGTGTATAGTACAGTGCTGTGTGTGTGTATAGTACAGTGCTGTTTGTGTGTATAGTACAGTGCTGTTTGTGTGTGTATAGTACAGTGCTGTGTGTGTGTATAGTACAGTGCTGTTTGTGTGTGTATAGTACAGTGCTGTTTGTGTGTGTATAGTACAGTGCTGTGTGTGTGTATAGTACAGTGCTGTTTGTGCACACAGTTTTCCTCTCTTTTCCTGTGTGAGGATGAAATAACTACTTGTGTGTGTTGTAGATATTGCTTACCCGCTCTTTGTCTGTCTGTGTGTAGTAGTAAATATAACTAGATATAACTTCTATCTCCATAGATCCCAGACAGCATCATCTCTAGGGGTGTGCAGGTTCTTCCCAGAGACACAGCTTCTCTGAGCACCACGCCCTCCGAGTCGCCCCGCGCCCAGGCCACCTCGCGCCTCTCCACTGCCTCCTGCCCCACGCCCAAAGTAAGACACCTCCTGTACCTATACTTATACCTACCCCGCTGCCCATCCATCTACCCCTCCACCACCCCCCGCCACTCACCCGGCCACGCCCAGTCCTCTCACATCCTAACACTACCCTCCCTCCATCCATCTTGCTGCTGCCTCCCCCTCCCTCTGACCCATCAAGGCTTGGACTCCCTCGCTCTCCCCTCCTCCATGATTTTACGTGGGCTCATTTATTGTATCCCTTTGGTTCTGTAACTCTGAGATCATGACCAGTTAGTTGTCCGTTGATTGGGTGGAATTATAGGCTCCTCCCCTTAACCTTGATTCCATTCTATCCCCATACTTTACTTTAAAATTTTAAAATGTTATTTCCTGATTGTAGAAGCGTCCTGTGATTGGTCACAGCACACAGAGGGGCGGACCAATGACCACTGCTGGAGTGTCCCGTTCATTCTTTGATTGTCAGGTGTCATGTTGTTTATATCGGTTTCAAACTGCACTGTGGCTATGGAAACAAACAAACCAGACATACAGTACCAGTCAAAAGTTTGGGCACACCTACTCATTCCAGGGTTTTTCTTTATTTTGACTATTTTTTACATTGTAGAATAATGGTGAAGACATCAAAACTATGAAATAACACGTATGGAATCATGTAGTAACCAAAAAAGTGTTAAACAAATGAAAATATATTTTATATTTGAGATTCTTCAAAGAACCACTCTTTGCCTTGATGACAGCTTTGCACGCTCTTGGCATTTTCTCAACCAGCTTCATGAGGTAACCACCAGGAATACATTTCAATTAACAGGTGTGTCTTGTTAAAAGTTAATTTGTGGAATTTCTTTCCTTCTTATTGCGTTTGAGCCAATCAGTTGTGTTGTGACAAGGTTGGGGTGGTATAGAGAAGATAACCCTACTTGGTAAAAGACCAAGTCCATATTATAGCAAGAACAGCTTGCTATAATGTGTGTATGTATGTATATGTATGTATATATTACATTTACATTTACATCATTTAGCAGACGCTCTTATCCAGAGCGACTTACAAATATATATATATATACAGTGGGGAGAACAAGTATTTGATACACTGCCGATTTTGCAGGTTTTCCTACATACAAAGCATGTAGAGGTCTGTAATTTTTATCATAGGTACACTTCAACTGTGAGAGACGGAATCTAAAACAAAAATCCAGAAAATCACATTGTATGATTTTTAAGTAATTAATTTGCATTTTATTGCATGACATAAGTATTTGATACATCAGAAAAGCAGAACTTAATATTTGGTACAGAAACCTTTGTTTGCAATTACAGAGATCATACGTTTCCTGTAGGTCTTGACCAGGTTTGCACACACTGCAGCAGGGATTTTGGCCCACTCCTCCATACAGACCTTCTCCAGATCCTTCAGGTTTCGCGGCTGTCGCTGGGCAGTACGGACTTTCAGCTCCCTCCAAAGATTGTCTATTGGGTTCAGGTCTGGACACTCCAGGACCTTGAGATGCTTCTTACGGAGCCACTCCTTAGTTGCCCTGGCTGTGTGTTTCGGGTCGTTGTCATGCTGGAAGACCCAGCCACGACCCATCTTCAATGCTCTTACTGAGGGAAGGAGGTTGTTGGCCAAGATCTCGCGATACATGGCCCCATCCATCCTCCCCTCAATACGGTGCAGTCGTCCGGTCCCCTTTGCAGAAAAGCATCCCCAAAGAATGATTTTTCCACCTCCATGCTTCACGGTTGGGATGGTGTTCTCGGGGTTGTACCCATCCTTCTTCTTCCTCCAAACACGGCGAGTGGAGTTTAGACCAAAAAGCTCTATTTTTGTCTCATCAGACCACATGACCTTCTCCCATTCCTCCTCTGGATCATCCAGATGGTCATTGGCAAACTTCAGACGGGCCTGGACATGCGCTGGCTTGACCAGGGGAACCTTGCGTGCGCTGCAGGATTTTAATCCATGACGGCGTAGTGTGTTACTAATGGTTTTCTTTGAGACTGTGGTCCCAGCTCTCTTCAGGTCATTGACCAGGTCCTGCCGTGTAGTTCTGGGCTGATCCCTCACCTTCCTCATGATCATTGATGCCCCACGAGGTGAGATCTTGCATGGAGCCCCAGACCGAGGGTGATTGACCGTCATCTTGAACTTCTTCCATTTTCTAATAATTGCGCCAACAGTTGTTGCCTTCTCACCAAGCTGCTTGCCCATTGTCCTGTAGCCCATCCCAGCCTTGTGCAGGTCTACAATTGTATCCCTGATGCCCTTACACAGCTCTCTGGTCTTGGCCATTGTGGAGAGGTTGGAGTCTGTTTGATTGAGTGTGTGGACAGGTGTTTTTTATACAGGTAATGAGTTCAAACAGGTGTAGTTAATACAGGTAATGAGTGGAGAACAGGAGGGCTTCTTAAAGAGAAACTAACAGGTCTGTGAGAGACGGAATTCTTACTGGTTGGTAGGTGATCAAATACTTATGTCATGCAATAAAAAAAAATGCAAATTAATTACTTAAAAATCATACAATATGATTTTCTGGATTTTTGTTTTAGATTCCGTCTCTCACAGTTGAAGTGTACCTATGATAAAAATGACAGACCTCTACATGCTTTGTAAGTAGGAAAACCTGCAAAATCGGCAGTGTATCAAATACGTGTTCTCCCCACTGTATGTATATATATATACACAGTGGGGGAAAAAAGTATTTAGTCAGCCACCAATTGTGCAAGTTCTCCCACTTAAAAAGATGAGAGAGGCCTGTAATTTTCATCATAGGTACACGTCAACTATGACAGACAAATTGGGGGAAAAAAATCCAGAAAATCACATTGTAGGATTTTTAATGAATTTAGCAAATTATGGTCGAAAATAAGTATTTGGTCACCTACAAACAAGCAAGATTTCTGGCTCTCACAGACCTGTAACTTCTTCTTTAAGAGGCTCCTCTGTCCTCCACTCGTTACCTGTATTAATGGCACCTGTTTGAACTTGTTATCAGTATAAAAGACACCTGTCCACAACCTCAAACAGTCACACTCCAAACTCCAGTATGGCCAAGACCAAAGAGCTGTCAAAGGACACCAGAAACAAAATTGTAGACCTGCACCAGGCTGGGAAGACTGAATCTGCAATAGGTAAGCAGCTTGGTTTGAGGAAATCAACTGTGGGAGCAATTATTAGGAAATGGAAGACATACAAGACCACTGATAATCTCCCTCGATCTGGGGCTCCACGCAAGATTTCACCCCGTGGGGTCAAAATGATCACAAGAACGGTGAGCAAAAATCCCCAGAACCACACGGGGGGACCTAGTGAATGACCTGCAGAGAGCTGGGACCAAAGTAACAAAGCCTACCATCAGTAACACACTACGCCGCCAGGGACTCAAATCCTGCAGTGCCAGACGTGTCCCCCTGCTTAAGCCAGTACATGTCCAGGCCCGTCTGAAGTTTGCTAGAGTGCATTTGGATGATCCAGAAGAGGATTGGGAGAATGTCATATGGTCAGATGAAACCAAAATATAACTTTTTGGTAAAAACTCAACTCGTCGTGTTTGGAGGACAAAGAATGCTGAGTTGCATCCAAAGAACACCATACCTACTGTGAAGCATGGGGGTGGAAACATCATGCTTTGGGGCTGTTTTTCTGCAAAGGGACCAGGACGACTGATCCGTGTAAAGGAAAGAATGAATGGGGCCATGTATCGTGAGATTTTGAGTGAAAACCTCCTTCCATCAGCAAGGGCATTGAAGATGAAACGTGGCTGGGTCTTTCAGCATGACAATGATCCCAAACACACCGCCCGGGCAACGAAGGAGTGGCTTCGTAAGAAGCGTTTCAAGGTCCTGGAGTGGCCTAGCCAGTCTCCAGATCTCAACCCCATAGAAAATCTTTGGAGGGAGTTGAAAGTCCGTGTTGCCCAGCGACAGCCCCAAAACATCACTGCTCTAGAGGAGATCTGCATGGAGGAATGGGCCAAAATACCAGCAACAGTGTGTGAAAACCTTGTGAAGACTTACAGAAAACGTTTGACCTGTGTCATTGCCAACAAAGGGTATATAACGAAACTTTTGTTATTGACCAAATACTTATTTTCCACCATAATTTGCAAATTAATTCAAAAAAATCCTACAATGTGATTTTCTGGGTGAAAAAATGCTCAATTTGTCTGTCATAGTTGACGTGTACCTATGATGAAAATTACAGGCCTCTCTCATCTTTTTAAGTGGGAGAACTTGCACAATTGGTGGCTGACTAAATACTTTTTTTCCCCACTGTATATGCGAGAAAAAAAACATATGGGGGATTGGAAGATATGCAGACAATTACATTGATGGAAGTTACAATCTATCTGATATATTAAAGCTGATCTACCCCCTAAAAAAAAGACAAAAAGAACAGCTCAAATAAGCAAAGAGAAACGACAGGCCATCATTACTTTAAGACATGAAGGTCAATCAATCCGGAAGATTTAAAGAACTCTGAAAGTGCAGTCGCAAAAACCATCAAGCGCTATGATGAAACTGGCTGTCATGAGGACCGCCGCAGGAATGGAAGACCCAGAGTTACCTCTGCTGCAGAGGATACGTTCATTAGAGTTAACTGCACGTCAGATTGCAGCCCAAATAAATGCTTCACAGAGTTCAAGTAACAGACACATCTCAACATCAACTGTTCAGAGGAGACTGCATGAATCAGGCCTTCATGGTCGAATTGTTGCAAAGAAACCACAACTAAAGGATTCCAATAATAAGAAGAGACTTGCTTGGGCCAAGAAACACAAGCAATGGACATTAGACCGGTGGAAATCTGTCCTTTTGTCTGATGAGTCCACATTTGAGATTTTTGGTTCCAACCTACATGATTCCATATGTGTAATTTCATAGTTTTGATTTCTTCAATATTATTCTACAATATAGAAAATAGTAAAAATAAAGAAAAACCCTTGAATGAGTAGGTGTTTCCAAACTTTTGACTGGTACTGTACATAACCCCCCCCCCCGCTAAGTAATACTCTCCGTCTGTGTTCTCATTGATAATAAATGACCATAGTGTGGGCTGGTTTCTGGGTCTTGTGTTAGTGATCTAAACTAAGTGATCTTACTCTATGTTCCTAATCATAATGAATGGGCTTAATGTGTATAGTGTGCTGGGTTCAGACTGGTGGGAGGAGAGGTGGTGTAACTTGACTAGATCAGACTGGTGGGAGGAGAGGTGGTGTAACTTGACTAGATCAGACTGGTGGGAGGAGAGGTGG